TGTAAATCTAAAGAATTTGCTGTTCCCTTGAAATTCAATCTCATTTGATATGTGGATGAACTTCTTTGTCCTATTAGGTTCAGCAACTCATAGTCAGACACCCAATACTCATGAGAAACTCTGGCTTGCAAGGAACATAAGGTTTCAAGGGACGAAACACGACTTTGCTATCCTCAGGTGCAATTTTAGGACATGATATCTCCCTTGAGAGAAAAACCTTATCCTCAGAACTATCAAGACCATCCTTAATTACCTTTTACCTGAAATAAAAAGACAGCTCTGAGACTTTCTAGGACTAATTGAACATTGTAGGAGCTGGATTAACTTTCTGCTGTACTATTCTCTTTATATGGCATAACTTAGGAAATTATGTTTGATCTTCTACAATGCAACTCACTTTCCATAATGCTATTTGAATCCTTAAAAACCACCCTTTTTATCTGCCCCCACCTTGGGGCTCCCAAACCATTCCTTGCCCTTTCCCTATTTATTCAAGAGAGAGAAGGGCATGCTTTAGGTGCCCTATTTCAGAAGCATAACGGAAACCAAAGGCCCATTGGGTATTTCAGCCTCACTCTAGAGCCTGTAGTTGAAGCTTTCCCTTCTTGTTTTTGAGCTGTTGCAGCAACAGCAAAATTGGTTCAAGCTACAGCAGATCTAGTACTAGGTCATATCCTGAAATTTATGTTCCCCACACTATCCAAATCCTTCTCCTAACTGAAACACCCAATATTTCTTTACCTCTCATTATATCTCTCTTGACATTCTTTTGCTTTCTCCTTCTCACATTACTATCTCCTGTTGTTCTAAATCTTACCCTTGCTGTTCTTCTTCCTTTCCTGACTGGAGGATATCCATCTACATTTTAACCATTTCTCATCCTGACCTTTTAGAGCTGCCTCTTATAGACCCAGACCTCGCCTTCTTTGTTGATGGATCTTATCTCCACTCAAGGCTCAGAAGGAACACTCTAGGAAGTACAGGATATACCATTACACATTTCCAAAACCCTATTTAGCATGAGTCTCTGTCTGACACCAACAAATCATCCCAGACAGCAGAACTTTACATTAACTCTTGCAAGGGCTTGCACTTTAGTGAACAATTAATACTTGAAGAGAATTAATGTCTACTTAGACAGCAGATATGTTTTTGAGTTAGTACATGACTGGTATGTTAGAGAAATCCAGGAGATTTATAACTGCAACTGGAACACCAATTAAAGATAAGTAACAGGTGGTTATCTTCTTAGAAGATTTATTATTACCAAAAGAACTGGACTTATTTTAAAAAGAAGCTCATATGAGCAATAAGATCCTGAGGCAAAGAGAGAACTCATTAGCTAATAACATACTAAACTAGCAGCTCATAAATCTGCCTCAGTTCCACTATGACCAGATAGAATATGAAATCTACTCTGCCTACCTCTTTCTAATAGAGGAAGTGAAAACCAGTTCAAAGCCCCTAAGATTAAAAGGCCAGTTGGAAACAAGCTGGATGTTTTATACAACCAGATAAATTTTGCGGACACCCAGATGATTGTTTGGTCTCTCTTCCATCCTTTGCCTGAAATTTAATCTATGGCTTTCACAAAATGGGAAAGTAAAACTAGATCAGCTCCTCCATTGGCATCAGTGGGAAAATTTTATTCCTTACCTGGGATAAACGATATCCTTTAGCCCCATCTGCCAAAAACATAATCATGGTAAAGCTGTAAAAGTGGGGCAAGTTAGAGTGCCACCTTCAAAAGAGCCCTTTCTTCATTGACAATTAGATTTTTGTCAGCTCCCTGTATCTTATGGTTATGAATATGTCTTATCATTATTCACATGTTCTCTCATTGGAGCAAAGTTTTCCCGTGTGAAAGGACCTCTGGTATTGCTGTTGCTAAATTTCTGTCAGAATGATTTTTCTCCACCTGGATAACTCCCCTTGCCCTGTCTGATTGAGTGGGTAAGTGGACTATTAAATTTAAAACTGAGAAACTTTCAGAGGAACTTGTCTTTCCATGGTCCAACATAAGAACATTCAAACCTGTAGAGAATTTTTATGTGCTTATTTGCGTTAAACTGATAACATATGCTGGGGAGCAAGATCTCAAATGCTACAGAGAATAACAGTTTTGCAGCTCCCTTCATGTATTTGAAATTAAGGAGAGAACATGAAGGCTGATTACATGGAGATGGGAGAAAGCAAGGTTGAGATTGGATTACAAGATAGTTAACAGGATTATGTGCCCTCTTGAGGGTGGTTAGCCTTATTTCAAAAGTGTCTTAACCTAAATTCACAGAAACAATGGACAGGCCTTACTTAAAGCAAAGATAAACCTTTTACTAAAGAAATTATAGGCCTGGGGCATGACTACCAACCATGACCCGCCCAGTTAGGAATTTATGATCAGATCACCCTGTGAGGTTACTGTCCATAGAACCCCTTTTTTTTTTATCTACACAAGGTTTTACCTTTGGCTTTTATAACTCTCTGAATGTCACCTACAAAGGCATATCGACTCTTCCTCTATGAGATAATTCCTGGAAGATCCATGAAAATCTCATAAATGGCATGGCCTATAGAAGATTCCAATTTGGTCAATTCAGATATTCTCAAATATTGCAATAGACTCATTCACTATACCTACACTTATCAATAAGTTAATATTGTTTTTCCTCCTGTCCTCCCATCTAAATTAGTCCACAGATAAAAATTAGAGATTTTGTTCTCTGTAAATGACACTATCAAAAGGTTAACCTTGAACCTCATCAGAAGAGTTCATATCTGCAATTCCCAATTCCCTTATCTGGAAACGACAGCACTGTAGGTCTGATCCTCTACCCCCACACTTTCTTTGGACTATCTTTTGTCCACAGTAACACTTGTAAACTCCAGGAGGGCCCTGCTTTTTTCATTAATAATACACTTTATTTTTTTAGAATACTTTTAGATTTACAGAAAAATGAGCAGATAGTACAGAGAGTTCCTGTATACTTCTCACATACACACATAACATCTATTGAGGAAAGAAAGTCCAAACCTGTAGAAAAATTATATGAGATTACTTGAGCCAAATTTGAGGGCATGCCCAGAAGCAAGATCTTGGTGGGTTGAGAAAATGCTCTGGAGAATGGTAGTTTTGCAGTTCGTTTTTATACATTTAGAATCATAGGAGAAAATGTAAGGGAGGTTGCATTGGTGGTAGTTTAAGGAGGTGGGAGGAAGCAAAGCAAGGAAATCTAGGATTGGCAAAAACTAAAATGGAGAACTACATACTTCTTTTACATTGGTGGGTACAGGATAGTTAACATTTAAAAACAATGAATAGAGATGGAATGTGGGCAACAAAATAACAATGAGGACTGTGGATGAAAAAGAGATCTTATAACAAAGCTGACAAGTCCAGCGATGGAAAGTAATCTCACAGGGTAATCTCATCAAAAATTCCTAACTGGGCAGGTCATGGTGGGTAGTCACGTCCCAGGCCTATAACTTCTTCAGTGAAAGGTTTTTCAGCAAGCCTTGACCATTGTTCTCGTGCATCTAGGTTAACACACCTTTGAAATTCTAGAATAATTTTCTTTTCCAGACCCCCTCAAAGTGTAATCACCCTCAAGGAAGCATATAATCTTGTTAACTATCCTGCACCTCACTTTCTCCCACCTTCATGTAATTTCCATTACATTCCCTCCTTAATGCCACAGTTATAAACAACAACAACAACAAAAATGCAAAACTGTCCTCTAGAGCATTTGAGATTTTGATTTCCGGCAATGTTATTGGTTTGACTCAGATAAGTTCTTATAAAAAATCTCTACAGTTTGGACGTTCTTAGAATGACACACTATAAGCTCCTATTGCAGTGGTCTCTGCATATCGCAATAGCGCCCCTGAATGAAGTCGGCCTTACTATTCTTTAACAAGTGTCTTGAGTAACTTTTAACGCTTGAGAATTAAAGATGAGTCATCTTATGTCACACACTTGAAACCATGTCAACTTCACTGTCCACTTATGACAGGGCATTTAGCCCTGGTATTCTCAAACGCTGAACCATGTAGCCTGTAAAAATCCATCCCTTGGATAATTGGCCCACCTATATACTTTATGAAACTCTCCTGCATAATGTGTTTTAAATAATAAAACAAAATAGCCAAATAGTAAAAGGTGTGCTTTCATGTAAAAATTCTCATTACCTATGCAGCTACTTGCTGAGTCAGAGAGCTGTATTTTATATTTTGACAAATATTCTAATTACCCTGCAGAGAGGTGTCTCTGACTTTTCCTCCCACAGCAGTGTTTGTGACTTTGATGATGATAATAGTAACAACAGTTCTAAGTATCAAGCAGTAACTACGAGTCAAGCCTTGACCTACCATGAGACATATAGTGTTATTTTCCCCATTTTGTTTACAGGATTTAATGAGAGTCCCTTTTCTCAAACTGCAGTCCCTGGCGAGCTTGCTGACACACAGAAGGCTGGGCCCCACTCCCAGAACTTTTTAATCTCTTTTGGGTTGTTGCTCAAGAACTGGTATTTTTAATAAATTCCCAAATGATGCTGATGTTACTGGTTTGAGAAGCACCGAATTAGAGCAACATTTACTGCTAGCACACAGATCCCGCAAATTAGATATAATGTTCATTTTCAACGTGAATCTAGGTCTCTGGGTGTTGAGAAGTGAAGAGGCTCACTCACCTACACCCACAACAAGCAGAAATGAGTCTTTTATAGACCTCGAGGGCAGGTGGGACTTGGCGCCAGCGGTCACAGAAGTCTGCGGCCAGCCCCTTTAAGAGGAAACGCTCGCAGGGCAGCTGGGCCAATGTCATGGAGAAACCGCAAGGTCCTCTGTCGTCCCCAACTGCCCAGCCGGATGCTAGATGGAAAGCACGCAATCCCGGAGGCTGTGCTTGTGCGTCACCGGCTGGCGCAGGGCCAATGACAGCCCAGGAGAGTGGCGTTTCCTCGGACCGGAGAGGTGGGGGCCGGAGAGGTGGGGGCCGGAACTTCCTGCGTTTCGGCCCCGAAGTCATTTCCCTGGCGGGTCTGTGCTCCCGGGGCCGTGGCGCGTTGCAGGCGTCTTTTCCGGACCAGGACCCTCCTCCGCGCCTTCGAACGAGCCTTGACCGCCGTGACGCGAGGTCCCCAGGGTCCGGACTGGCCGCGCGCTCTCCGCGGGCCCAGAGTGGGCGCCCCGGGCCCAGTGAGCCTTTTACACCCGGGAGACCGAGGCTAGGAGTGCGACCCCCAGCCCAGCTCACACCTCGCCCAGTGCAAAGCAAGTAGGTTGAGCCCACGACACCCGCCTCAGTCACCCGCCTCGATGGCGGCGGCGTTGAGGCACCAGGCGCAGGTGAGTATCGGCTTCGGGCCCTCAGCCGCTCAGACCCCCACCCGAAGGACCCTGGCACCCGGGTGGAAAAGGTGGGTGTGGTCTACGGCTCTCGGCCTTACTCATAGCTCTGCTTTTGAGTCTGGGGGCCTAGAGGAGAGTCACTCCTGGCCTAGGGTCCTGAATCCAGGCCAAGGTTTATAGAGCTGTTCTTATTTCTGAAATTTAATGGGATGAGGTAGGAAAAGGTTTCCTAGGCCCAGGGGCCAGTGCAGATGCCTGGTCGTGAGATTGCGTTGGGAGTGTTCAGAGAGCCGGTGGGCTCAAGTCAACTCTGGAGTGGCGAGGTGAGGAGCTGGGCCTCTATTCTGATGGTGTTGGGAGCCACAGAAGGTTCAGAACACAGGAAAGTGATCTGACTCAGGTCTTATCCCTGTGGATGCAGAATGGAAAACTGACTGGGGTGAGGCTACTGCAGTTGTCAAGGTAAATAGTGCAAGTGGTTGTCAAGGTGAATAGTGCAAGTGGCTGCAGGTAGAAGTGATTGGATTCTGAGCCTGTGTTTTAAGTAGGGCTGACCAGATTTTTTTGATGTGGAGGGTGAGAAAGAGAAGGGATGACTCCATGGTTTTTGGTTAGCAGATGGATGAATGAGCCATCAGCAGAGATGGAGAAGCTGCTTGTAGGAGGAATTTTAAGTGGAAAATAGAAGTTAGGTTTTAGACATGTTGAGCTCTGATGTTCCAGAGACCCCTGAGTGGAAGTGAAGAGTGGGCAGCTAGACACACAGTTATGGCATCCTGGGGAGGTATAGTTCAAGTAATGAGAGACCAAATACACAAAGGGACAATGGTCAGACCATATATAAAAATAGAACTTTGGTCCACAACCCACAGCAACCTGCTCAGGAAGCCAACCTGCTATAAGTCAGACTTGCGGGAAGTCAAATTACTATCTCTAGTGACAATCCAGGAAGATAAATAACCTCTGTAACAACTGGCCCCAGTGGCCAGGGCTTGATTAATAACTGGCAGCCTGTCTAATTTTTCTTCCCTCTTCCAACTTAGGACCTACTAGAGAAGGTCAAATGTGCACCCTAGGCAATCACATAGGCTGCCTCGCTTCTAGTTAGCCTGCCTACAGCTACACCATGCCAACGGGGCCCGTCCGAAGCTGTCCTTTCATCCACTCTAAAGCTTCCCCATTCCTCTGCATGCCTTCGAGTCTTCAAAACCTAAGCAACATTAGCTGACTCCTTTCCTATACCAAGCCCACAATAAATAGGCTTTGCTTTTCTCACTTGGTTGCTCTTAATTTATTCCGCAATTAGAAACATTCAAAATGTGGCATCTGGTGTGTGGACAAGGGTGTAGCTCTGTCTGATTTAGAAGGGTGACCCTACAGGTCCTAGTGGCAGTGACATTAGAGGGAACGAGAAGGGTGGGGCCTGAGAACTGAGCACAGGGCTTCTTGCTTAGGGATCATCGTTGGCTTGTTTGGCTTCATAAAGACAGATGAGGAAGAGTGGTGGTGGCTGCGGTGGTAGCTGTGGGGGGGGGGGGGGGGTGAGGGAAAAGGGGGTCTGGCAGGTGGCCAAATTTCCCTGGGGACATAGAGATAAGAGAAGTTCTGAGGGTTAATCATAATGGTAGTAATATTACAGTGAGGCTTGGGCTGGTGCTTATTCCCCATCGTTCTCACCAGACCCTTGTGGTAACTCTGAGTGGGGCCTGTGGATTTTCAGTCAGGCTGAGAAATGAGATCAGTGGCAAATGGGGTCAGCTGGGGGAGTGGAGTCACTAGACGCAGGGTAGATAGGGGCGGGAGGACCAGAGGGGTTGGTTTTGGAATGAGTGTGACTGATGAAGGCACAGAATGTGGAACAGAAGACGAAGGGGCCCTGGGGATCTGATTCTGTGTTGTTCTGGGTGGCTTAGATTGAAGCCAGGAACAGGGCCAGCTGAGGAGGCCCCCAAATCAATAGTGGGTATTGTCCTTGGCAATGGGAACATTGAAGGTCTGAGGCAGGATGGGGTCATGGTTGCATTTGCCAAGAATTCTCTGGATGCTTTGTGCAGAGTGACATGTAGGGGATCATGGAGATGGCTGTGATGGCGATGCAGTGGTGAGGTGCAGAGTTTGAGGGAAATACAATCCAAAAATGATATGCGTTAGAGCCCTGGTACTGGGGATTATGGGAGAAGAATGAGCCCACGTATTCATCTGGGAAGGATGACATTGGTGACATTAGGGGAAGGGATCCACGGAAGAGGGGACTGGGCCCTGCACTTCAGGCCCAGAGCTTATCTGGTGTCTCTCTGCCCACCTGCCTGTTGGTGCTGTGGGCTGACCCAGCAGTTATATGAAGCTTGAGAAAAAAGCACATGCCAGTGGAACCAGGGCCTGGGATCTCCTCTGAGTTGGGGAGCTGGAGAGGAGGGTTAGCAGGGGACAGACAGGGAGTCCTGAGGAGAGAAGCTGATCGTGGAATGAACTGTCCCCATCATGGCAGGTCTGTGTGACCTTTGAGGACGTGACCATTTACTTCTCCCAGGAGGAGTGGGGACTCCTTGATGAGGCTCAGAGACTCCTGTACTGCGACGTGATGCTGGAGAACTTTGCACTGATAGCCTCACTGGGTAAGGCCTTCACACTCAACCCGGGTGTCCTGAGCTCTCTCTTCCTGTTCTCTTTTCCCAAGAGGTGACGCTTTCCTTTCCACTCCAGAACATGGGCTTTGCTCCCTTCCCCACTTCCCTGGTATATGTGCTGTGGGTTCCAGAGCTGAGCTTTGCACAGAGTCCCATCCTATTTCTGAGCAGCCCCAACAGGTGTTGTCTCAAAAACCTGTAGGGAAGGGGCCAAGAATGAAGAGTCTGGAAATCAGCTCAGTGGATCCCAGCTGACTCAGCCACTCCCTGTCTGGGTGACCGCCCAGATGTGTGACCGTTCTGTCCTGTTCCTTTCCTTTAGCTAACATTTCCTAAGGCCCGAGTGTCAGGAACACTAGGCACCAATGTGGTCAGTATTTGCTGTGACCACTGGATGTTCCTGCCAGACCTCACCTGTGTGTTCTTTTTTTAATATTTTGTTTTCTTTCCTGGGGTCTCTGGTGGGGTAGTTCACTTGGGCAAGTACTAGCCATTTACTTGCCCTGTCTTTTCCTTAGGACTTATATCTTTCAGGCCCCACATAGTTGCCCAGCTGGAGATGGGGGCAGAGCCCTGGGTGCCTGACAGAGTGGACATGTCTTCAGCCATGGCTAGAGGGGCATATAGTGGGCCTGGCTCTGGTAAGTGGGAGATGCGGAACATGTGACATTGCTACTGTCTTCACATCATACCTGCAACTTTTTTCATGTTCATCCTTGTTTTGGTGCCAAAGCCTATGGCTGTATCTCTATTTTACCTTTTCTTTCTCATTCTTTTTGCTTTTTTTCTCCTCTCTTTTTAATTTTTTAAATTTTATTATTTTTTAAAATTTATTTATTCCTTTCACATTCTTTTTTTTTTTTTTTTTTTAAACATATAGCACCTGGTCTTCCTAGGTGGTCTCCCATGCAAGTACTTTCCAGGCAGGACCCTGCTTAGCTTTCGAGGTCAGACAGGATCGGGCTCGTTTAGGGTGGCATGACCGTAGACTGCTTTCACATTCTTGACACATTGCCCACTTGTCATTTCTACTCTGACTTGGGGCCCCTGGCTGCGCCCCACCTTTCAGGCCTCCAAGTCTTACTCTTTCCACAGCTCCCTCTGCGGCACTCTCCAACAAGGGCCTACACTTAATGTCATGAGATGTGCACATTCCCTTTAATAGTCCTTGAACACCAGCCACCCAGTTGCAGTCAGATTTTCCTGAGCCTAGACATACCCTTCTGCACAGGCCTTGTGTGCTACAGCAGCCAGGGCATTGCTGAAAAGGAGAAGTTGGAGACCCTGCCTTTCCACCCATACTGCACCCTATCCTTGTGTCCTTGGTCCTAGTAAGACCTCTTGTGTTTTGTGACCTTGCAAGGCAGAGCCCGGCAGAGCGGGCCATTCTTTACCCTGACCTTAGGCCTCTCATCTTCCCAATAATCCCATGGACTCATTCCTGGGTTAGACATGCATTTGTGATGGGGCTGTTTTATTTTATTAAACTTAACATGAACTTCACCAGCATTTCTCTCCTTTCAGACGCTTGCCGTGGAATGGAGGGTAAGAAGTCACCTTCTGAGCAAAGTGTTTCTGTAGAAGGAGTGTCACAGGACAGGAATCCCAAGGCATCTCTATCTACTCAGAAGGACTACCCCTGTGACATGTGTGGCCTACACTTGAAAGACATTTTGTATCTGGCTGAACACCAGGCAACACATCCCAGTCAGAAACCGTACATGTATGAGGCAAATGGGAGAGAGTTTGAGTTCGGTGCAAACCTTCACCAGCAAAAGATGCAGCAGGATGTAGACAAGTCTATCAGAAGGGAGGAGGGTAGGGCCTCCCCTGTGAAGAGCTGCAGAGATGACACATCTGAGAAACCTTTCGCATTCAGCGAGGGTGGGAAGGACTTTGTGGCCACATCTGGCTTTCTGCAGCATCAGGTCCCTCACAATGCAGAGGAGCCACAGCAGGGCACCGAAGCTGTGGAGGATTTTCACACTGTGCAAAGTCATAACAAATGCAGTGATGTTGGGAACACTTTCAGTAACAAACCCACACTTGATCAACACCAGAGAACCCACCCTGGAGAAAGGCCTTATGAGTGCAGCAAATGTGGTATGTTCTTTAGCCACACTGCTGGCCTCTTACAACACCAGAGAGATCATAATAGAGGAAAGCCTTATGAGTGCTGTGAATGTGGGAAATTCTTTAGCCAACACTACAGTCTCATTAAACATCAGAGAGTCCACACTGGAGAAAGGCCTTATGAGTGCAGCGAATGTGGGAAATTCTTTAGCCAAAGCTCTAATCTCATTCAACATAAGAGAGTTCACACTGGTGAACGGCCCTATCAGTGCCCTGAATGTGGGAAATTCTTTAACCAAAGCTCCAGCCTCAATAATCATCGGAGACTTCACACCAGTGAGCGGCCTTATGAATGCCTGGAATGTGGGAAAACCTTCAGACAAAGGTCTAATCTGAGACAGCACCAGAAGGTTCACAAACCAGACAGACCATATAAGTGCAGTGAATGTGGAAAAGCCTTTAGCCAAAGGCCTACCCTCATTCGGCATCATAAAATTCACACTAGAGAAAGGAGTGCAGAGAATGTGCTACCTCCTTCAATTCAAGAACACACACTAGAGAGAAGCTCTGAGAGTAGTTTTTATAAGGGAGCCATCAGCCAGAAGTTGAACCTTGTTCATCCAAATATTCACACTGGGGAGATTCCCTATGAATGCTAGATATGTTGGAAGCTTTCTGGAGCTAAATTGCATTTTCAGACCATGGACTTTACCAGAGTTTTGTCACTGCTGGTGTTTGTGGCAGAAGCCATCTCAGCTCTACCCACTGGCAGGTCTCTAGAGTGTGTGGCAGCTGCTTCCTTGTGCTTAGGGAAGGCAGAGCTCTGTCCTTTCTAAGAGAGAATGAAGTAGCCTGTGGCCATTAGAGTGCCTCATTCCCTTCCATTGCGACTGGTTTAGCTGTGCTCATGACCCATCTCTGGCCGTGAAGACTTGAGCTGGATTCTGCTGGCAGCTTGCTGAGGTTTCCCTTTTTCAAGAACATTGTTGATCTCATATGATGCTCATGGTGAATTTACCCAGCCACTGTATTACCCATCCAAACAACTACCTATTTTAGATTGCTCTGGTTAGGTGATAATAAGGGTCTTATTGATAAAGCCACCTTTAATCTTCTGTGTTCTGATCACTGTGTGTAATGGATTGAGAACAGAATTAAGGGCTACCAAATGAACAGGGTTTCCAAATTTATTGCCTCAGAAGGAACAGCAGGATGGCAGAGAACACCTCTCAGTCCAGATTTGGCTTCGTTTGTATTATGCAAGACCTCCTAGGTAAAATCGTAGAGCTTTTGGCCTAATTTGGTCTGAATTAGCTTGTTTTTTTGTGGACTAGAAATTACCCTGATGGGGGGCATTTATGACAAACTCCAGTGCATCTGAGAGCAGCACAAATTAGGTCCCTTTTTCCCAGAGAATGCCTCATGTTCCATAGCACTATTGGACAGACTCTGTTTACCTGGCACCTGCCAAATAGCCATATACCTTGAAGTCTAACATCTGGTTTACAGGTGTCTCTAACTGTAAGACTTACTGGGCCCAGTTGGGACCATAATTTGTACAGAAACACTGGGCAGGAGGTGATAACAGGGAGTAAATGAGACTACAGCAAACTAGAGGGAATGTACCTGTTCTAAAACTGAATCCTCAAATGTTCCCTTGAATCTGACTGTGCAGAATTCAGGCTTTACAGAAATTTTCAAGGCCTCCAGATATCTGTCCTATGAGTAAGGTCACTGGCAGAGCAAATAAACTAAAGGTTTTGTGGATTACTGCAGGCTCACTGCACTATTCATCTCAAGGTCATTTCTTAATAGGCAGGAAAATGGTGACTGAGAGGAGGTAGATCCTGTACTCTAGGGATAAAGCATTTGTGACAGCCTTTTTTTGCTGCCAAAACAAGTAGAGATAGTCAATATAAGGTTGCCAAATCTTCCAGTTTTCTAAAATGAATGGAGATCAGATTTTTATGTGCAACCATTTCTTTTAATGCTTTGTTGAGATAAAATTGTTAGCCAATAATTGACTACACATTTGATGCGTACACTTTGATAAGTTTTTAAATGTGTATATACTCAGGGAACCAACACTATAGTCATGATGAACCTATTCCTCACCCAAAGCTACCTTGTGCTCTTTATTATTCCTCTTTGCCTTCCCCAGGAAAATATTAGCCACATCTCAAGGAATCTGTTGATTTACCTTTTTTCACTATAGATTTGTCTTTTCTACAATTTTATACAATCAAAATCATAAAGTATTCTACTTTTGGTCTGTTTTCTTTCATATAGCATAATTATCTTGAGACTTTTACATGCTGTATGTATAAATAGTTCATTTATACATGCATGCTGAGTAGTGCTCTATTGAATGAATCCACCATATTTGTTTGTTTTATTTTTTAAATTAAAATTCTAATAAAATTTACCATTTTAACTATCTTTAAGTGCACAACTCAGCGGTATTAAGTACATTCATATTATGTAACCATCACCACCATTCATCTCTAGAACTCTGAAACTCCACACCCATTAAATAATAACTCCAGATTCCCCCCTCCAACTTCACTCTTTGCATGTGGATATCATCTTACAACTGATTGATCTTAGCATCCTTATTGAAAATCATTCCATATAGTGAGGGTTTATTTCTAGGCTCTTTTCTATCCCATTGGTCTAAATGTCTTTCTTTATGTGAGTATCTCACTGCTTTCATTAATGTAGCTTTGTAGTAAGTTCTGAAATTGGGAAATGTAAGTCCTATGACATTGATCTCTTTCAAGATTGTTTTTAGCTATTTGTGGTCCCTCAAGGTTCCACATGAATTTTAGGATAGTTTTTTTCTGTTTCTGCAAAAAAGTTATGGGATTTTGATAGGGATTGCATGAAATCTGTAGATTTCTTTGGTAGTATCGACAACAATCATCCAACTCATGTACGTGGGATGTATTTCCATTTATGTCTTCATTTCAGAAATGTTTTGTAGTTTTGTAGTACAAGTGTTCACCACCTTGGTTAAGTTAAAGCTTAAGTATTTTTTCTTATTGATGCTATTGTAAAAGGAATTGTTTTCATAATTTCCCACTCAGATTCTTTCCTATTAATGTGTAAAACTGTGACTGATTTTTCTATGTTGGTTTCATATCTTTGCTGGATTCATTTATTAATTCTAACAGTAATTTTGTAGAGCCTTGAAGGTTTGCTGCTGCATCCAGCAGTAGTAAAGCCTGTAATGTCCAGCGCGGCTCTGGAAAATATACCTGAGTGGGAACGGTGGGAGATGAAGAAAAGAAAGAAGACAGAAACCTGGGATCGGGGGGTCCACTGTCCACTGATGGTGGACATGGCACAGTTTCATTTTTGCAAGCTGCTTTTATCCAAGAACATACAATTGCTGGCATAAGCAGTTTCTCTAAGGCATAGCAATACTGTTTCTTCTACTTCTCTGAAGCCATATCTTATGACCTTCAGCTTGTTTGTCTGCCTGTGGCTACATTTGTACTATCTTGTTCTCAGAAGGAATTTGTGGAGGCGAGGCAACCCTTGGTTGTCCTTGCAGACTGCAAGGACCTTGTCAGCTTACAATTCGCTCTCCACATCTCCCCCTTTCCTTTTAGCTTGAAGCCACAATGCATGTCGAGCAATATAGGACTGTGTTATTTGTCATTGGAGGATTTGGCAGCTGACTGAAAGGTACAGAAAAAGACAGCTAGTAAGCACAAAATCCCCATCAAAAACCAAAAACTGTCTTAACATATTAAATGGATTAAAGCCTTGTAAGTTATCTAACAAATCTTTAACTAGAGCTTGAGGATTGATTATAGTATCTTTTGCATTTTGAATGTCCAAAATCTCTTGGTGTAAATTATGTAAATCTAAGTGCGAATTGTTATGGTGCCAAATACCTTGCAAAAGAAGTCTTTGCCAATTCCATTGTGGCTGGTTATAAATCAAATTAGTCACACAGATTCCCTTATAGGCAGCATGACAGCTTAAACTCATCCTCTTCTCCAAGGCTTCAACCTTATTTCCAATCTGAACAACAACCGATTCAAGAGCACTCAATTTCACCTCCAATTTTAAGTCAATATCTTCTTGATTTTTCTTGGCCATGGATATGTTATGGGCTAATTCATTTACAAAATTGGCATTCTGAACACTTTGTGACAACACAACTGCGGCGGTAACTGCAGTGGCTACTAAAGACACAAAGGCTACTAAAGCAGCAATAACCAGTCCTATAATTCTTTTGTCCCTGCTCAAGGCAGATTTCATTTCTAACAGTTTGAACACCGCTATCATCATACCAAGGCTTCCAATTTTGTTGGTAACATTATAAAACTAGGTTGATTCAAAACCAATAGATATGACCCTTTGTTATGAGGATTTACACAATTAGTTAAATTATAATTGACACAAGATATATTAAATCCATTCGAAGCATTTGTTTGTAATTGTCCAATTAAAAAGGTTGCAGAAACACAGGCTTGAACCCCATGGCAATGCTTGATGTTCAAATCTGCAGTAGATGAATCAGACAGATTAACGAAGTCCAGGGCTGCAAAGGCATACCACAGGTTCTTTTGAATGTGTCCCTTTGGAGTGGTCATCAAAGGGGCTATGTACCCTCCAGGTGTCATCATACACCATCTGTGGCCATCCCGTTGTATTATGTTCCAAAGGTAGAGGATGAGCACATTCTTGCCAATTCACTCATCCTTTTAACTCCACTGATGTAGTATTGGGACAATAAGGTATCCCAGGAGGATGCATTGCTGGCACCACCCTAGTATCATTAGAAAGTCCAAGAATAGAGAGTTGCTACAAGTACTTAAACTTATGTCCCATGGTCCATTGAGATTAGCAATATTAGCACCTCCCTTTCCCCCCACAGCAGTCTTCAAGTAAGAGTCAATTCTCAAAATTCCTGTAACCTAAGTACAAGTCCCCGCACACACTGATGCAACTGATGATACCCCTGAGTAATTAAAATTCACCTATTGTGGTTTTGTATAACCATCAGGATGGCTCCCAAGAACCGTGTGTCATTAACAAACATAGACACATTAACATCTTCCTATGTAACGATGTAACACAGGAGGATTGGGATAATATGTACAATAGTTTTCTCCTCTAACTATACTTGTACAGCGAGTAAAGCTAACATAGCCACAAACAGCTGGTCAGGTGTGACAGGCAAACCCTGGCATCAAACCATGTCCTGCTCT